TCCTAATATAACATTCACCTTATTCCCACAAGGATACCGATATCTAATCCTTTTAGTCCCCAGAAGAGATTCGCGTGTTAAGGTCTGAAAAACTTTGCAAATAAATTCTGTTGACTCGTTCCCAGAGGCAATGTTGAAAATATTTATAACTGGTAGGCGTGCACACCAATTGATCAGAATGGATTCCTGGATACTGTTGTACCTGAGTAGGGTCTGAAAGGCTCCTAGGTGGTGAGTTCCAAGGGATGAGTTCCAGGGGAGGAGCCAAGGAAGCGAAAGCAAAAGTAGAGTATCCAAGATCTCAAGAAAAGAGCCATTTATTGACCAGTTCATACATGTTTCCGTTTTTAGCCACTAGTGTAGGTGTATACCTGTGTACACTGACTCACATGAACTTTGCTCTTACCTAGAGGAAACATCTGTCACACTGAGTTAGATCTAGAGAAGAAGCATTTTAAAAAGAGGCTGGTAATTTTCACCGAAAATGTAGACATGGATCAGATGCACCTGAGGTCCTCCCATCCGAACACAATGGGACAGGTAGGAGGGGGAAAAGGGGAAGAAAGCAGGGAGAGTTCAGGGAAAATATAATTTACCACAGCAACCAAAGGATTTAGTACTGTGGAGCTTAAGGAAAGGGAAGCATTATTGGCTAGAAAGGAAATCTTAAACAAGAGGAGGTTTAAGGAGGTAAAATGTAATGTTTTCTCTGGCTGACAAGAATGACAAGTGTGCAGGCCACCAGGAGCAATGAGGAAGGCACTGCTTTCCATCAGCATGCTAAATCCAATTTGAAACCATCATTCCATCTTCAAAGTAATAGATGAAAAAGTTTACACTGAAGACAAAGCACCTAAAGTTGAATCACATCATCACCCTGGGGCTGATGAGACATGGAGTGGATTTTCTATTACATTTCTACAGACTGAACATCTGTCTTAGAGTGAGCTTATTCAGCCTCAGCCAAAACCTTTCATATCTCGGCATACTCATCATCATCGGAGGGCACTGAACGGAAAGATACTCTGAGGAGACAAGACAGACCATTGGGAAATCATTTTAACTCACAAAAGCTTATCCTGAACAAGAAAAGAAAACCCAGATGAAGCAGCATGAGAAAGAACCTATGACCTAGCAACCCGGTTCTTTTCGAAACTAAGCCCTCACACTGTTGCTGTGAGCAAAGTGACCTTCCACTTTCTGAAGAGGTGCCAGACACCAATGGGTGGCTGACTTATTAAAAGCACAAAGCACTCTATCACTAAAGCAGAGGAAAATTTATAGACTTCTATTTTCAGACTACACGCATCTAAATGTTGAGCAAAAGAATAAAGGGATGAATACATCCAGCTTAATTCATTGTGTTATTCTGAAGATAGAAAGTTATGACTTAACATCTCTTCTCTGACAACATTGACCAGGATAAGATCTGGTGAAAGTAGAGCAGAGATTAAATATCAGCTGTGATCAACCTTCCTTCCAAGACCCTTAGGGAGGCCTCATAGGATCCTGGAACTCTAAAGATTGAATTTGGAAAACCATGACAACATAACCACAGGATATGTGTATAGGATGGGGCAAAAGTAGGTTGACAGTTGTTTGTATGGAAAATAACATAATAATGAATAAATAACAATAAAGAACCAATCCTGTGTTTTGCATACTCACAACTGTCAACCTACTTTTGCCCCACCCTGTACCATATTGGTCTCTTCCATTTCAATATGTTGGCCTTACCTTAGGCCAGCAGTTCTCAACCTGTGGGTCGCGACCCCTTTGGGGGTCGAACGACCCTTTCACCGGGGTCGCCTAAGACCATCGGAAAACACATATATAATTACATATTGGTTTTGTGATTAATCACCATGCTTTAATTATGTTCAATTTGTAACAATGAAATTGGGGGTCACCACAACATGAGGAACTGTATTAAAGGATCGCGGCATTAGGAAGGTTGAGACCCACTGCCTTAAGCTGTTCCTTAAAGAAGAAACTATTGGAGATTATTAATTTCTCCACAAATAATTTCTCCTCAACCTCACAAGCAGATTAAAGCCTTTATCTTAGATCTCCCCAAGGAGGTCTAAAAGAGAAGACCCATGTATCAAATGAAGAACACTTTGGAGCAAGCGTAAGCTAAAGATGTGTCTTCTTTCTCTGAGTAAAACTGATAGACACACTTCTAGATCTTAAGATAGGAAATGTTTTTGCAAATGGGGTGAGTGTGAAAGAAGGCCTATTGAGCTTTCTCACCTGCTCTTTAAGCTCGGCTGACAGCCACTTGATCACAGTCAGTCTCCTTGAGATCCTGAGAGACATCCCTCAAAGCAGTGACATGGTACATTTCACAGAAAGCCTCTCCCTGGAAGGCAGAGCTCCTTGGAATGGTACCACATTGGCCAGAAAATGTTATTTCCTGCAGTGCAGCATCCATCCAAGAAAAGTCTCTCCAGGATCAATATTGCCAAGAATAATACAGACAAACATGTTGGCATTCACAAACTTTGAAGGTAGCCCAGAAACTGAAATGCTCAACCTATTCACAGCAGAGAAAGTCATACACCCCCACTGCTTTGTCTGGATTACCTATCCTACCTGAGGGATTTAGCTAACCCACTACGAGGTCTTTGGAAAAAGCAGCTTATGCTAAAAAATTGGAGACGTGAGCAAAATATGATTCTTTAGAACAGTGCCTCCCGGGGTTACAGAACCAGACCTAGCCAGTGTCTCTATTCCACTTCATGTTTGAAGGTTAGATACTGAGGACAAGGGTCTCCAATAAGTCAACTAAAACTAATTAACTGACATCAGTCTATATATATATATATATACATTCAGAGAGGAAAGGAGAGGCAGAGAGAGATAGAAACATCAATGATGAGAGAGAATCATTGACGGGCTGCCTTCTGTATGCCCCACACTGGGGATCTAGCCTGCAACCCTGGGCCTGTGCCCTGACTGGGAATCGAACCATAACCTCCTGGTTGATAGGTCGACCCTCAACCACTGAGCCACTCCAGCTGGGCTGACATCAGTCTTGATCCAGTAAAATGCACCATTTGGTAAAGCTAACTCAAAGTTTGTTTCGCCAACCTTTCAAATGCCCTTAGGCTAGAGAGAGTAGGGGACCCCATCCTGGACCTCTGTCCTCGGCGATTTTAACAAGGAGATAACAAGTGTGCAGAAGTTATAAGAGATTTAAATTTTGGCAGACACTGTTATAATATAGGGTGTCCCCCAAAAATGTACAGACATTTTAACAGCTGACAGCTCAATTTTGAAAATGAAATGTATTTTAATAAACACTGCCTTTATAATTATTCCAAGTGTATGTATACATTTTGAGGGGACACCTATATATCCCCTCCAATTTCATGGCACAAAATCCTGGTCAGAACTTTCTAAACTCCTTTCCATAGTTCTCAATAACTACCAACCCACCTAACATCTTCACAAACTCAGTGCCCACCACCTCTGCTGGCTGCAATAACTCCTTACAGCAAAAAGAGGATCCTTTCTTAAAAGGATCATTTTATTTCAGAACCCTTGTATATTTTAATCTATAAATATTATTTAAGTAATAAGTGTTTGGGAACACTGTACTGATAATAATTTAGCTTATGAAATTATTAGTGGCTGAGTTAACACAATTTCACAAATGACCAACTTATATTTTAGAAACAGTTTCCTGTCTTGGACTAATCTAGACAACTGTATCTTCAGGTACTAGTTTGAGTTTCATAAGCCAAATTTGCAGATATTTTATAGCAAGGTTTCACTTGAAGAAGAAGGTTAGCAAACACCCCGAAAAAAAATGTTAGACATTGGAATCACAAGGCCACTGAGAGAGGCAGAGTAAAATTAAGAAAGATGGGCAAGGAGAAAATATCTAAATACCTTTTGAATGAGATTTGAAAAGGAGATGGAGGAGCAATGAGGTGTAAAGGTAAGACAAAGGCAAACTTCCATATTTCCAGATAAACAAGCAGATATCATTCATACCCAGTGAGCTACGGGAGGCACAGAGGCCATCAAGCCTCACCAGGAGCAATGCTCCCACCTCACACGTTAATTATAAGAGGAAGTCTATTCCTTGTCTTCATACAGCTAGTTAGATTTCTAGTTTTCCATTTCACTGCTCTAAGGAATCATTTATGTTGGCTCAAGCCACCAGAGAATAATGGATATTCCTCCACTCCATAAACCAGCTGCCACATTCATGTGTTTCTACAAAGAGACTGGGCAGGGGAACATGTATGTAAGGTTGTGTCTATAACCAAAACTATCATTCACAATAACACTGATAGTACTATACTCCCATGTGTAAATCAAATCTATATATTTCTAAAGTGCTGGTCACCTTATTACTTAGGCAAATATTTATCAAGTCTCACTGTAAGTGAGTAAAAAGTTGCACCAAATACAAGAAAGAAATTCCAGCCCTGGCCGGTTTGGCTCAGTGGATAGAGCATCTGCCTGTGGACTGAAAGGTCCCGGATTCAATTCTAGTCAAGGACATGTACCTTGGTTGCGGACACATCCCCAGTAGGGGGTGTGCAGGAGGCAGCTGATCGAAGTTTCTCTCTCATCGATGTTTCTAGCTCTCCCTCTCCCTTTCTCTCTGTAAAAATTCAATAAAATATATTTTTTTTAAAAAAGAAATTCCAAGCTGCACTAGGACTAATCCCCATGTAACAACATTTTTTAATTTGTCTTTATTGTTGGAAGTATTACAGATGTCCCCTTTTTTCCCCCCATTGACCCCCTCCACCAAGCTGCCCCCAGACCATCACCACGCTATTATCTGGTTATGCATGAGTTATACATATATGTATATGAGTTCTTTGGTTAATCTCTCCCCACCCACCCACCTCCCACCTTCCCTCTGAGATTCGTCTCTGGATATTTTTGTTCATCAGTTTATTTTGTTCATCATTAGATTCCACACATGAGTGAGATAAAATATATATATATATATATATATATATATATATATATATATATATATGGAACATTTCACGAATTTGCATGTCATCCTTGCGCAGGGGCCATGCTAATTTTCTCTGTATTGTTCCAATTTTGGTATATGTGCTGCTGAAGCAAGCACTGTAAAAACAAATTTGACCTTCAGGTCTCCTAAGATACTGAAACGCAGAAATTGAACTGGAACGCGTGGTGTTCCTATGGTCAGGATGATTCCCGGGTCCTTGTTCAGGTGGGTTCAAAGAACGAAACCACTGACAAAAGGTGGTAGAGGAAAAGATGAAAATTATTGAGAAACAAGCACAGACTCCCACGTGGGGAGGGGGAGAGAGTCCCACTAAGTCCCTTCTTTCTAAGATTTATAAAGGCTGCAGCTCTTTGTGTCCTCATATCCTCTCTGATTGGTCACTATATCAGCTTCAGAGCTTAAACCCAGGTGAGGTTGCCCTCTTCTTCTCCCTTATTGTTTTTCTATTCCCTTTGGCCTTCCTCTTCCCTCTCTGAATGAGTGACTTCCTTTCCTTTATTCTGTGAATGTAGACCTTATTCTATGGAAATATATGTCTTCTGGCAGCTCCCTTAGTCTGTGAATGTAGACTTTCTGCAGCTCCCAGTTTTCAACCCTGTGGTTTTCACCATGGACTCCCTAATTCCTAAACCTGCCTATTTTACCCCTAAAAACTCCTTTCAATACTAGGAGAAATAATTATGTCCAGCTCCTCAGGACCCAGATATGATTAGAAAGCTAAATAAGATCGCTATGGCCCTTTCTACCAAAAATATCAACTTTTTACCATTTTATTATCAGAATCCCCATCAAAAAAAATTGTATCAATGTTCAGACTTAATCTTATAACGATTTAAAGTACTATCCCCCCCCCAAAAAAATAGGAAAAACAGAAGTAAAACAACTAGTTTTTCTAATGTTTAAAAAAAGTCAAGAAGAATACTGAAATTATGAATAACTTTATTTGACTAAAAAGTTTAATCACTGATTAAAGCTGAGCATATCAGGTTTAACCCAAAATACCAGGTACTCAATGACACCATCTTCTATTCAACTGAGTGGACCAGTCACACTTAAGAAGATGGAAAACCAAATTGAAACAGGAATTTTAGGGGTAAGATAGGACAGGTTTAGGAAATTTTAGAAATTTTGGAAATTAAGGGGACCATGGAGAAAAGCACAGGGCTGCAGAGCAGCAGAAGGTATATTTCCATAGAATGGGGGAGCTGGAAAGTTGTAACAGGTACATTTCCATAGAATGAGGAAGCTGGGAACAACAAAAGGTCTATATTTACAAAATAAAGGGAAGAAAGACCTTCATCCAGAAGGAGAAGAGAGCCCAAAGGGAATAGGAAAACAATAGGGAAAGGGGGGGTGGGAGATCCTCACATGTCCCATGTGAGATTCAACCTTTGAGCCCAGGAGTTACTAATATTCTAAGAGAACATTGACCAATCAGAGGAGATATCAAGGCACCAGGATCTGCAGCCTTTATAAGCCATAGGGAAAAGGAACTCAGTGGGACCCTTTTCCTCCTCCCCGCATGCGAGTCCATTCTGTGGGACTCTTTCCCTCTCCCCACATGGGAGTCTGTACTTGTTCTTCAATAAATCTCCACCTTTACTATACCATTTTCTGTCCATGGATTCATTCTTTGGTTCCAGTGGACAAAGAATCCAGGTTCCAGTCCAAAATTTCCATATCAAAAGTCACACAGTTTTGAATTAAACCCCACGTCCCATAAAATCAGCATCATAATAAAATAAATTGTTGGTTGCCGAAACCGGTTTGGCTCAGTGGATAGAGCGTCGGCCTGCGGACTGAGAGGTCCCAGGTTCGATTCCGGTCAAGGGCATGTGCCTGGGCTGTGGGCATATCCCCAGTGGGAGATGTGCAGGAGGCGGCTGATCAATGTTTCTCTCTCATCGATGTTTCTAACTCTCTATCTCTCTCCCTTCCTCTCTGTAAAAAATCAATAAAATATATAAAAATAAAAAATAAAAAATAAAAAAATAAAAAAAATAAATTGTTGGTTATTTTAGCTTCATCTTAATAAAGTTCAGATTCTTATGCTTGTGGCTATTTTATGTATATATTTGCTTGTCTTTTGTTGTTGTATAATGAGTGTAGCAAACTCAAGGATGGTGCTGGCTAGAAATTTTGCTCTGTAGCTGAGAACTTAGAGATCAGCCTAATCAAATTTACTTGGCAATAAAGCCAGAAGTCCAATTGTTGTGACCCTCTTACATACTCAGACTATGGTAATTTACGAAATAGGAAAAGAAAATTAATCTTAGGTAAAAGCATTTAACTCAGCTACTGTGGAACAAACCCAAGTTTTTCTATAAAATTATATGGATCTAGACTATTCTGTACCTGAATCAACATAGAGGGATCTGAATCTCTCTGAAAAAGGATTCTCTATGACTCATGGAAACTAATATACCCAGCAATGAGGAGAAATCGATATTGTTTTTGGTGGTGGGTGGAAATGAAAGATGGCACTTAACTTTTCTTTAATAAAATCCTTTGTAAACATAGGGTATTCACTTTTAAAAAGACCTAATACCGTCTTCTTATTGTTTTTCTTTCTTAATATAAAAAATAAAAACTTCGCTTTTTACCTCCTCTCTACTTCTTAAAGAAAGAAAGCTTCAAGATGGACACCATGAGAATAAACGCTGTACGGTAGCTGTGAAAAACAGCAGTCTAGCAGCCACTGGAGCAAACAGGATGAGACTGGAGCTCCCCTAAAAGCTCTGTTCCCAGAGAATTGTCACCATTTTATTTGGCTGGCAGCTCACTGAAAAGCTCCATTCCTAGGGCTTGTTTTTATTTGACATGACTTAGAACTCACTCTCTGCAAACAGACCTATCTACAGGGCATTTGTCAAAAACAATCAATGGCAATTGTTCAACACTGCTGCTGCCTGAGGCAAAATTACCAACTGGGGCTAATAAGAGGCTGACCAAAACTCTTAAAAGGAAAAACTATAGAATAGTATCTCCATACAGACTTTGAAAAGTTTTGAGACATCCCTGACAAGCAAGAAAGTCATGTGTATGAGCTGGGCTTTGTGTATGCCCAGAAAAGACCTGGTCATAATCTCATACCCCATGCTGACCATGAAGCTCTGCTCAAATATAAAGTGAATGATAAGGCAGACTTGTAAATAACCTGCCACAGCATTGAAAGTGTGCCCCAACACACACACACACACACACACACACACACACACACACACACACACACACATCCTTAGCAAACAATGGGAGCCTCATTGGTTCAAAGCATTTAAGAAAATCTCTCTCCAATTTTTAGCTGATCTCTAAGGTCACCAAATAGAGACTTCAGTGGCTACATACAAGTTCATAAACTTTATACAGACTATGTAATTAGTCCAGGAACATCACTAAACAAGTAAAAGGCAATGACAAAATCTCGGGGGGTGGGGGGGAGCAATGAGAAAGAAAGAGAGGGAAATGTGATTTCCAGAGTTGTTACATTATATTACGTGTTCAGATTTTTAAAAAACGCTATAAGAGAAGCAGCAGTCCTGTAGGTTTCTTGGTGGGAAAAAAAAAAAAAAAAAAAAAAAAAAAAAAAACCACTATAAGATATGCAAAGAAAGGAAAAGTGTAACTTATACACAGGAAAAAACATGAGTAATAGAAACTGTACCTAAGGAAGCCTAGATATTGAACTCACTAGGCAAAGACTTTAAGGTGGCTATCATAAATATATTCCAAGAGCTATAAGAAACCATGTATAATGAATAAAAGGATATTTTAAGTATAATATCTCACCAAATAGAGATCATCAATAAGACAAAGAAATTAGAAGGAAGAAGAAGGAGGGGGAGAAAAGAGGGAAGGGGAGGAGGAAGAAGAAAGATTAAGAAGAAAGGGAACCAAATATTCTAGAGTTTAAAAGTACAAAAATGGAAGTGAAAAATTCACTAGAAGGACTTAACAATAGATTTTAACTGGCAGAAAAAAAATCAACAAACTTGAAGACAAAGTGATTGAGATTATCCAACTGGACAAATAGAGAGAAAAAGAATAAAAATAAACAAGTCTCAGAGACGTATGAGATTCCATTCAAGCATACCAATATACCCATAATGTGAGTGCCAGAAGGAGAGGAGAGAAAGGTACAGAGAGAATGTTTGAAGATACAATGGCCAAAAACTTCCCAAAATGATAAAAAAAAAAAAAAAAAGTTAACCTGCATGTCTAAGAAGCTCAAGAAACTCTAAGTAGGAGAAACTTAAAGAGATACACACCTTAACATGTCATAGCCAAACAGTCAAAACACAAAGACTAAGAAATCTTGAAAACAACAAAAGCAAAGGAAATCACCATAGATGCCTACTTAAATTCTACCTTATCAATAATTACATTAAATGTAATGGACTAATGACTTCAATCAAAAGATAGAGATTGACAGAATAGATTTTAATTTTTTTAATTTATTGATTTTTAGAGAGAGAAAAGCAGCGGGGGAGGTCAATTTATTATCCCATTTAGTTGTGCATTTATTGGTTGATTCTTGTATGTGCCCTGCCTGGGGATGGAATCCACAACCTTGGCATATCGGGACAAGGCTCTAACCAACTGAGCTACCTGACCAGGGCCAGAATGGATTTTTTTAAATAAATAAATGTGTGTGTGTGTGTGTGTGTGTGTGTGTGTGTGTGTGTGTGTGTATTGATTTCAGAGAGAAAAATAGAAGGAAAGAGAGATAGAAACATCAATGATGAGAGAGAATCATCGATTGGCTGCCTCCTGCATGCCCCCCACTGAGGAACCTGGGACCCTTCAGTCCACAGGCTGACGCTCTATCCACTGAGCCAAACCAGCCACAGTCAGAGTGGGATTTTTTAATGATCCAATTATGTGTTTTCTACAAGAGACTCACTTTAGATCCAAAGACACAAATAAGTAAAAAATAAAAGGATGGAAAAAGATACACCATGTGAGCAGGTATCAAAAGAGAGCTGGAGTGACTATGTTAGTATCAGACAAAATAGACTTAAGACAAAAATTGTTACAAAAGAAAAATGGCATTTTATATTGATAAAAAAGTCAATCCAGCCCTAGGCAGTCAAGGGCAC